TGATCGACACGTGAACGTCGAAAAAAATCCTTTAAGAATACGATAATAGTGTCATTCAAATGTCATTACCCTCCAGTGGCGGTGTATGTGTAATAAAACACTTTACCAGACTGGAAAACACTATTCTTTCGTCACGACATTACTACATGGTATTGGGTTTAGATATTGATACGAAGCAGTGCCGCGAAGTTAGGTCGCCACCATTGTACAATATACTACCTGTACTTATCGTGAATCTATTTGTGTTATCACTGTAAACAAAAAAGCTAGAATCTTAATGTTGGACAATTGATTCGATAACAAATATCAGCTACCTAGTATGTATTGTGTGATTAATCAACCGTGTATTTATAATATTATTTATTGTTTTCCGAACCTTCAGATCAGGTTTGAACGTTTGCAGCGTAGATTGTCATGTCCCAGTATTGTTAGCTTACACAGTTTTATTTGTACTTATTCTTGTTATGAAAATCATATCATCTCATATCATTACAACTGATATACCTCGATCGTAAACTTTTATATATCCATAGAAAACTTTTGATTTTGTTTTGTGTGTTTTTCCCTGTACATTCTCTCTGTCAATTAGCTTCATTCAATTTGAAACACAAGCTAATAGAGTTTGATCTTCATACGTTCATTGTATATATATTAATGTGTGTGTTGCTAGTTATGCTGAAATATATTAGGACAATAATATTAATGTCTTGAAGTATTAACGTTGAATTTTTCTATTTGACATAATTGAATATTATATTTTTAGTGCTGATCAAACACGGGGTTGGAAACAGAACATAATCTTTGCGTTTTATCAATTAAATTATATAGCAAAATACTTGATATTTCTAGAGAAGATTTGTTTTAAAGTTTACAAAACTAACAAAGCTTTTAACAAATTGACCGTGCCTAACATTAATTGATACTAATTACCTTAATGATGTGAGTTCATCTTTCAATATTTTAAAATTGATTCTTCGTGTTTAAATTCAGCGTTCCTAACAATGGCTTTTTAAAATGTTATGCACAATGTTCTCCATTGCAGATGGTACGAGTTATCATTAAATATGGGCCTTACCAGAGGTGAAACGGTGTATATCACAACGCTGGGAAGATCCAGGGCTTGCAATGTAAGTCCAGCAGAGTTGACTCCCTTGTGCAGTTTAAGCATTGGCAAAACTTTTAGTGATATTCGTATTCATGCTCAAAACAGATTTTAAAATATGCTCCTTCTATAAATAAGGCAAACAGATACACAAAGTATAGGCATATTTGCTTTTAGCTCAGAATCACAGATCTTGAATAAGGTAGACAAAATATTCCATTTTTAAATTCATTTTGTATTTTAATATGTATGTCATTATTCAGCATTTTGATAATTCGAATGCTAATATGCTGCAATTCCTGTACTTTAGGATTACAAACAAACTAATGAGTAACTCTCGTACAATATTTCTGCTTTAAATGTAAGAGACTTGTTGTTCTTACTTTTAGCGGCTATTGCGTCATCCGGTCACGTGGTAATTACTCAAAAAGTCCAGAAGCATGAAGCGTGCGGAGTTTATGTTGATTCGAAATGCGTGTGGTCGTGCAATATTACTAGCCTACAACCTGGTATGTATGTGTTTCTCGTTCACTATTATGTTGATTAAACTTAAGGTAACTGCAACCTAAAAATGTTTTCACAATTCAAGCCTATGCGTTGAAAACAAATAATATCCTAGAAGAAGAAGAAATCATTCCAATTTGCTGTTTCAGGTGACGGAAATTCACATCCACTGTGTAAAGAGGCTTTAAAAGCAATAAAAACTCATCTAGCATCCTAAATACCACATGTTCGGTAAGTGTCATGATCGTCACATAGAAAGAGGATGTGACACGCTTGTACAATGTATTTTGTAAACTTCTTAGAAAGGAGGGGGATGTGTGTCGTGTAGATCGTTAACTTACGTAGCCCGGGGTGTATGGAAACCTATCAGGTCTGGATAGGAGTCTAAGATTAAACATACGATTGCAAACTTCTTTAAAATGATACACGCCTAATGAAAAATCACATTTCAGTTGATATAAGCACGGCGAAGATGAATGTCGATTCCTGAACTACTATTGTAATAGAAATATGTGCAATATCTAAAAATTACAAATATAGTCGATTGATACACATACTCTTGATTTTGAAGTGCATGAATTTTACAAGCGAAATGATTACTTTGGTGTCATGATGATTAAAACACACACACACACACTCCATCACTCTCACACACCTTAACATTTTTTCGTCAAATTACATAACAATACATTTAAATTGAAATTTCTTTTTCTAACAGACGACTCTGTACAAGACGAGAGTCGCCTACCTACATCTTCAATGACGGTTCCTACCTAAAGCATAGACGGATCGGAGCCTGATGTCCTGAGACTGTAGAAACAAAATAAATGAATATCTATATCATCAACTGCCTTAACTTGTCTGTATTGCAGCATCATGAACGTAATCTAGCATCTAGGTAGCTAACTAACAATCGGAATATGGAAATTTATTGAGCACGTAAAAAATAAAATAAATTATCACAATTATTACAAAAACATTGAAAGTGTATGCAAATAGAGGATGGCACAGCGACACACATCAGTAAGACTTTAAATAAATCATAGTTGCTATTAAAATGTGTTTCGGTAATTTAACTCGATTATTTAAAGACGAGGAGTAACGTATGTTTATGTATCTCTAATACAATTTGTTTTCGCTGCTTTTTCAAATAATTTATAACATCCTTGTATCGACTTTGTACTTTCAAATATGTTAGTAAAGCGATCCCTACTTTGCTGTAGTTGTTCGAAGGCTGGTAAGAGATAACCATTGGTCAGTGAAAATTTTCAAAAAAAGAATCTAACAAAATAAGAAACTGTTTTTTTATCTTTTCACAGATGTAGGGTTATTGAGACAGGTCAGATTGATATCTTTGGAGTTATAAATTGCATTTAAAATTTCAGTTTGTTCATTAGTAGCGATTTTTTAATGTTTTACTGTAGCTAACGTTTAAGTGACCGTTTCCTGGCTGCTTAATCTTTATGCTTAGTTTTTTTTCAAATGTTTAGAGAATTCAAGATTCCGACCCATAAAACCTGAAATACCTCACTATTCGTCAGCAATGTGTATATCATAAGATACATTAAATATTGCTTTAGTTTTTGATTTCTGGAAAAAAAACCCACCAAACTAAAAATATATGGACTAGTAACAAACATAACACACCCATGAAAGCTAAATCTGTACAAAGGAGTTGAATAAGCGACGAACTATTCAACAACTGGCCAGATTCTAAAACACAAACTACCTCAATTTTATAGAAGAGATATCTACAAACGCTGGTTTTTTGAAGAGATCATAAGATTGTATAAAATCACCGGTACCAAGTGGACATACGTAAATGAGAAAAATGTCATCAGTATGATACTAGGACGTTAAAAATCATTGAAATGTATGTATTCCGACAAGGAAAATTTATCTAAACCCTTAAAATCAATCGTTAACTAGATTTTAGTTCCTAATATGGCCAGGGGAGGTATGGGATTTATTAGTCAGTTATCGTGTTTTTGGACCACGACAGGTACATGTAACATAATCCATTGTTATCTGACAGAACAATGTAACGGAAATTCCAATACAAGCTATAAATTCAAACTTACATACAAAACATTTTCCTTTTGGATAGAAACTGGGTGACGCTGTCTTATCTGGAATTAATTATATATATATATATATAGGTATATCTTAGGTATTTTTTAATTTGAATTTCAATATCGGCTTATAGTCCGACTGGTATTTAAATCTACCAAGCACTAGACAAAAATTAGTAAAATACTGTTTACATGTATCATATTGTGGTCGTTAGGGGGCAATTTAAGACTTGAAAAATCGACACTTTCACCCTAAGTTGATCTAAACACTCAACCTTTTAATGGACGCCAACTCACACAGCCTTTGTATATTCACGTATCATAGGGATAAAACACAACGCGGTCGTACACAATATGATTTCAAGGTTTAAATGAATCGATATTGGACATGTTCTATTTTTAGACGCTTTGGTTTGCGTTGATCACATTAAATATCGACGTTGGAAGACTAAGAACAAAGTAATTCAGTACTGAAAAATTGCAGAATTTGGACAAAGTGAGTATCTCATCGTAGTAAACAAAAAGTTGATTAAATGTATATTGTTCAATGATATCGTCATGATACATAAAATAAGAATAAAGTTAGCCTGTGTGAATGTTTGTATATCATGTGTATATAACCTGTATATATCATGTAAAAACCGACTTACGGTGGATAAAGAATTTGAACTTCAACCAGAAATGTCATTGACTAAATTTTATGGCAGATTGAGTTACCCTACGGCGGTATATCATAGCTGAATAATGTGCTGTAAATGATATACAGAATATGGAATAATTTCCACAGTGTCATATACTTCGTTAACCAGGTTAAGAATTATGTATGATATAATTTGTGTTGTAGATGGTGCGGCTTGTCCTGAAGTATGGACCGTACCGGATGTGAGGCCGTGAAGTGACCAATCTAAAGAGGGTCAAAGGCTTGTTGTGTAAGTGTGAAATTAGCATATAGAATTTATATAATGAAACCCTATTCTCAAAAGTTGCTTTAGAAAATTATATTTCCTTTCCAATTTTTTAAAGTGAGCTGTTGTAATTATTATACAAGTCATACTTGAATAAATAAGAGAACTCTTCCTGAAGATATGCTATATCATTTTGCACATATATCTTATACTTTAGAATACGCTAAAATCAGAATAATTTATTTCAAACACTTACCGTTTATTACATATTTCGTAATAAAGATTTTATGTTATGCTTTCTTTTCTGAAAAAAAACCAGCTGCTTTGGCATCAGCGGGTCACAAGGTCACTACACAAAAGACCCAAATGAAGGGAGCGTGTGAGATATACATAGGTCCTCAACTTGTATGGTCGTGTAATATCACCTCATTTATGGAAGGTGAGTGTCTGTATCCTCAATACTTCCCAATCTCATCTATTTCACCCGAATGTCGATGTTTAGAGTTAGAAAACATAAACAATTAAACAAATAGATAAAAACAAGGGAATTTAAATACGTAATTAATTATCCTTTCCAATTGACATTTGAAACGAAAATGTCAGTAATGTCTTCGATGTCTATATTTTTTGTAATTTATGCAACATTTTGTGTTGAAAGTTTTTGTTTTTCTCCTCAAGAGAATTGTATCCTATCTTTAAGGGATACTCATAGCGCTACTATTTCCTTTTGAAAATTGATACGAATTGTTGAATTATATTGATTTGAGGCCTCCTCTTCATACCTTCTCCTCACCTATTTTTTTTCAATAATATTCTACAAATTTTCCTGATAGCGATATCCCTGTATCCCCACCCTATGGTGTTTACGCGTCATTGTTGCTTCAATATTCAAGGGCCTGCTCCCATTATCACGACTTTCGTGCAGGCAGATGAAAGTAATGAGGAAGGTTTTCGGTCGTCATAGTGATTTCATTAAGAAATATACTGTTTCTTTATACTATATGAAGCTGGACATGTTTGATGCTGGTTATTTTGCTTGTTTCCGTTAGTATGTACATTACTTACATTGTCCTTAGATTGACCAAGGTTTACATGGCGGATGTTGTCATTGAAGCAGAAGACGTGTACTCTTCCGGAACTCCTGGTCTTATTCTCCTTGTACTTTTTCAAGTGTCTCCAAGTAAATCTTTCGTTTATTTAAATTTTGCAGTATTTTTATTTTACATCCCAAATCACATAACACATTCTTGAGTAATTTCGATGTAATCTAAAACTGTTTCTTTATTTATTTTCTAGGTGATTGCGCTTCCCATCCATTGTGTGTGGAGGCAGTCAAGACCATTGAAGCGCTCATTGCCTCGCCCAAGTGACCGTAACATCATCACATAATGTAATTTCAAATTATTTCAATATGAAATAATTAATTCAATTATTAAGATCTTACGCTGGTTTAGGATGACAGTCGATAACCGATCAATCTAATAGAAATCGATGTTAATACTTTCATACGTAGTGAGTTTAAATATCGACTATTAATTAGATTGATAATTCCTATTTGCCCGTTACACGTGTGCATCAAGATTAAAGCCAATACTGAATTGGACAACATTCCTATCGTGTTCATTCATTCATTCATTTCATTTTTTCTCCATCAGAAACTATGCCACAGAAGTTGGATAGAACTAATGTCAAAACCTACGTCTCCAATGATGGTTCCTACTTAAAACACAGACGAGTCTGAACCTGATGTCCTGAGAATGTAGAAATAAAGAAATAAAATTTAATAATATTTTCGTTGTCAATATACCGTGATCAGGAACCTTGTTCGTGTAGGCGTGCATGTTTCAATTCATACTACTTTAAGTAATCTTTCGTTTTGACTATTATGATTAACCTTTTCGGATTTTTCTACTTTTAATACTTTAGACCTTATCGAGCTCCTGAAGAACAAAATAATTACAAATTATTTGGCGAGATTGTGTCTAGTTCAAAATTTGTACTGAAGTTGCTGTACAGTGGTACATCTGTTGTAAATTCCTAATGAATCAATCCATATGTGCATTACAGAAAACCCATCTGACGTGCTTTAACATGTAAAATATACCTCCAACATGTCGCTTTAAGTATGAATTTTAAACGCGAGAAGCTGCCATCTATGATTGTGTTAAAGATTTCCTGATAAACATCAACACTTGAAAGATCAGAGACACTAAATCTTTTTAAACTACCAGCATTCAGGGAAAATATCTTCAACTGTATATTTGCTGTTTTAAATTGTACTTTGGTTAAAGCTACGAATAAAATCTGCTCCGATATTAAATTTGATATAAGGTAAGAGTTTATCATTATGACAAAGTGTTAAAGAGGCTTTTGCTACTGTACATGGTCTATTTTCTATCAAGAATATGGTTGAAAAAATATGGGATTATGAATATTTCCTTTGTTGTCTTTTATCCGTTGTTAGTTTAGATTGTTTACCTAATCCTAGCTTTGAGTGATGACATCAGGGACAGGTCAGATATTGTCAATAAGAAAAGTATCTCTGCATGTGGTAAAATACATTTTTTGAAGAGGTAATGGATACGTTTCCTGTCATTTTCTTAATACGTGTAATTGGGCTGTCGCGACCAACAGAAAGGTGTATCAGGGAGAGACTGTTTAAACTAAACAGAAATCTATAAATAGCTCGTCATGGGTATTCTATACACAGGTATACGACTTCACACAACATCGGTTACTACAACAGTGTGTATAAATAAAAAATAGAAATATCGGTCATGGTCTTGTTACTCGAGTTGGAGCCAGTGCTTGGTTTGTGAGGAAGCTATTCTACAAGAGTTATTGCATACAAAAATCGATATCTAGATTTTATTTTGGAGTTTGGACAAAGTGAGTATATATACTTTAATCAGCATTCATTTCTAACAAATGCAGAATATGGAAAGATAATTAAAAGAGTATATTAATGATATCAAAACCCATGATTTTATCACATTGATGAAGTGAATTACAAAAGGATGATGTTTTGTTGATGGTTATCTTAGAGGGTATAGCAGAGCGATATTTAAACGTCGTGTTGTTTACGAAAAGTGAGCTATTATATGTTTTTAGACTTCTTAAATTGCATTACTCGACAGTGATAAATTGATAGTTTAAACATACATTGTTGTCTGAACCATTCACCCATCTTTAATATTAAAAAAATAAATAACTTATTACACATCATTCATTTTATTAATGTCTACCATTGTCAAACATGTATACAATATGGATGCTTGCCTGCCAATAGTCTGGTACTACCGATGTGTATTTAAAAACAAAGAAGAAATAAATAATTTCCTAATGCTAGCAATGTTTTGTTTTAAGCGTCTAGGTTTAAACATTCATTAAAACTTGTTTTTATTCTGTTTTGTATGTATATATAGATTTTACGTATATAAGTCTAATGGTGAATAATCATAATTTTCACGATAGACATACAGAGAAATATCTATTGTTGAATTATATATATATATATATATTTGTTTCAAGTAAGACATATTCCATTTTAGATGGTGTTAGTCACCGTGAAGTATGGGCCGTACAAGAGATGAAACACAGTATACCACGATCTCGATAGAGTCAAGAGCATAATGTGTAAGACGTATAAGATTATATGAGTTGTCTCCCGTTCACATTCAGACTGACAAAATAAAATTAATATTTGCACTACATTTTGGAAAGATCATACTATGTTAAAATAAATAGAAATGAAAAATATTCTTTGAAATTTTAGCTTTTTTTCCAGCTGTAAACTTACATCATACAAGGTAATTCAGTATTTCAAGCAAAATATCCTTTGAAAAGACATTTTATTTCTTTTAATTGCAAACTTACGTTGTAAAGGGTATTTCAGTATCACAAGAAAACCCAATTAACTTGGTTTTTTAAAATCAAGCTGTAGTGTACGCTGTAAAACTGATTACATGTATAATGTTACTAGCTTAGAGAACATTGCAATACCCATGGTACTACAAACAAACATTTTCCCATGCAGCGGCTATAACGTCTTCAGGTCACAAGGTTACCGTTCAAAAGACACCAAAGTATGCCGCTTGTTCACTGTACATTGACTCCAAACTCGTGTGGTCGTGTGATGTTACCAAGTTACAACCAAGTAGGTCGATTTGCTTGTATTTTCATTACTTATTCTGGTAATTAGTTTATATATATATACACATATATATAGTTTTGTTTTTCTTTTCTATTTTTTTATTCATTTTGCGTTATTGGGAAAAAACGTTTTCTTATTTATTTCTAGGTAAAGGTTCCTCCGATCCATTATGTATAGCGGCCATAAAAGCCATTGAGGGATCCAAGGCATCGTAATGCATCGATGTAATGTAAGCGGCTATGTGTCTATATGTAGCATGCATGTATATCAAAATGGTCAAATTGATAATTGTTTAGAGGTTGCTGTCAATATTTATACCAAATGCAGGCATTTAATGAAGGCATGGCAAGCTGACTCAAAATGATTTTCTAAACGGATCTAATATCGACTTTATACTTAATCATATATCTACTGTTTTGTTCAATGGATAAATCCTCGTATATTTATGATAGATTGTCATGGAAATGATGATAGGGTAACAGCAAATTAATATCTTTAAAATGCAAATGTATATTTAAATGATTTACCTGTACCCGTAATCTTGTTTCATCGTAAACGTTTAATTTTGAAATTTTATTCTCAATTAAATACTGTATGTATGTTTGATATGTCTTTCTTTATTTTGACAGGTGATGGTATAATCTTAAGTCTCCAATGATGGTCCTTCTTTAAATCACAGACAAGTCGGAACTTGATGTACTGGGACTGTAGAGAACAAATTAAAATATAAATCACACCTGTCTTTGTTGTTTGATGCTGGTGTGGTATATAATCAAGCTGCATTACAAGATTGTATTTTATGGATTCAAACAATATTTCACCCAACGGTAAGATAAAGAGATTTGGACCCGACGAAAATAGCATTACGTATGTGAAAAAGAGAAAAAGAGAGAATAAAGATAACAACCCATAATGATGCAATAGACTGAAGGCTTAATTCTCGCTCTCTAGACTGAAGGCTTAATTCTCTCTCTCTCTCTCTCTCTCTCTCTCTCTCTCTCTCTCTCTCTCTCTCTCTCTCTCTCTCTCTCTCTCTCTCTCTCTCTCTCTCTCTCTCTCTCTCTCTCTCTCTCTCTCTCTCTCTCTCTCTCTCTCTCTCTCTCTCTCTCTCTCTCTCTCTCTCTCTCTCTCTCTCTCTCTCTCTCTCTCTCTCTGATGATGGAATGGCAACTCAGTTTCTGTTTAATTAATCAAATACCCAGTGTGATGGGCCCAAGTTACCACTGTGCACATTTTCAATAAAAGAACAAAACATAATTTGACAAGAAAACACTGTGAACAATATCAGTATCTCTGGAAAGCGTCTAGGAGCAAGGACGTTTTTGTGTAATTTCTATTTTGTCTTGTTTACTCATTTAGGCTTTGATATGTTCTAACCAGCTTAGATGCAGGTGAAGGTCAGATGCGAGTAGGCATCGACACCAACTTCCCCTGTAGGTCATCACCGGTAATTTGATAAAAGGTGATAATCGGATAATAAATCCATGAGGTGATTTGTAAGGTGATTAGACGAGTGATCATTCAGTGTAAAGCTATGGAATTAGAGCTCGTGACCATCATGTGCGACCAAGCTAATAAGTTGCTCTTTGACCTTCGTCCTATTTCTGACGTGAGTAGCAGAACACATAAGAAAATGTCTTTTCACTGAATGATTCATCAGAGTCGAGACAGACAGGGATATAGAAAGTGATTCAGGAGGTTGGTATGTTTGAATCTTCTGTGCTTTTCCTACAAAAATAATGGAAAGATTTCCAAGAGTTGAGGAGTTCCCTACACGAAAAATATCTCTCTAACTACGTGCACAGGTAAAGGGATATGTACCTATTGCAATTGTTAAAATTGTGTACCTAGGTTAAAAAACCCTAGTAAATACCAACATGTCAACACAATCATAATCCAAACTCAAATTCAATAAAACTAGTGGAAAATATCAATAAGAGAAAGAATTTCATGGAGACTCATGAAAAGGGCAAGGATAATAAGATCACGTGATCCGGAAGAATAAGCGTCTTCCGCCATGTAAACCATGATCAATCCAAGAAAGTAATGCCACGTTCTCAGATGCGAACAAGGTATACCACAACAGAACTAACAGACAAACTAATGAGCATCAAATACATCCATCTTCATATTACACAAATTTATCAAAGATACCACTATGTGACCGTAAAGTGTCCCCATAATCTTCCTCAACCTCGTCAAATTCATCAAACTGTGGGTTAGTGAAATCCCGGTCCTCATCTCTATCTTTTGACATTTATTTCGATCAATTTTAATTTTTTCCTCAGTCACCGCCTAGATTTCAACGGTTTCTCAACTATTTCAGTCCTTGACATTGGCATCAGGACGAGTCCTAGAAGTACTTAACAGCTGTATGATGCAGCTTAATTTATTATTTGATGCCTTACCTTCTTTGAAATGTGCTATTCAGTTGTTTTCATTTGTGTCTTTGATACAACTTTGTTGTAAAAGTCAGTTCTTTTCTTTCTGTTCTAGCGTTATCATTCTAATATTCACTTGAAAAACTATCCGGGTATTCTACTTCAGCAAGTTCGTTATCTCG